TTAATCTCTGAGGGCCCAACTCAATCTCTGATGGTCTCAACCTACTGGCCTTTGCAGGCCCTGTACTAGTCACTGAGGGCCCTAAACTGGCCTCTAAATGAAAACATACAGGGGTGGACTTCTGAAGTTCTAAGGCATCACGCAGACTTCTGCAGAGCCTAACATTGGTCCCAATGGTCCCGCGCAGATTCCCTCATGCAAGCGCGGTTGCAAAGCCTCGCAGGAGTCTGCGCGCGGCCCTCAGATGCCCATTTTGAAAGCTAGGAACCTGTGAGGGGTCTCTAGAGGTCGATGCACCTTCTCTCTCCCGCCGCCACACAACTAGGTCATGGGTAAATGCCATGGTCTGAAAATGCTATCTTGGTTTTATATGCTGCATCGATCCGTCGCCACACTGAAAAAACAATTTTACCCGAAGCTGGCGAATTCAGCCTTGCACTGCGGGTGGTATATGCGTATGTCTCGTCATGTCCAGGTGGAGGGTAATATATAATACTGAACGAGGCCGGTGTAAATAAATTTTCAAGACCGAGGTCCTTACTGGATTTTTGAACGAGGCCGAAGGCCGAGTTCAAAAATCAGTAAGGACTGAGGTCTTGAAAATTTATCACCGGCCGAGTTTGGTATGTATTTTACTGTATGCCAACGATAAATTTATTTTCTGGACCGAAGCTCTTAGCCGACTTAGGAACGAGACCATCCCAAAATGTTCGCTTAAGTGCATTCTGGTAATGCATTTTTGACCGTGGTCAATTTGCTTACACCAGTTATTACCACACCCCTCTGGCTAATGTATTTGAATAGGCCAGGCATACAGTAAGAGGGTAAGCAGACTACCCCGCGTTATTACTCAAAAATATGCACCGCACATGCAGTCCGAAGATAAGGTAGCTACCCAGCACCGGATATTGTCCCCGCGGGTGTCGAGTCATTGGCATAACCCTCACTGAAAGAGTTGGAGCTACTCGAGATATCGTGTACGCGTATCCCTGGATGGCAAACCTTAACATAACCTTCCTGAAGGAAGGTTATGTTACTGGTAAATTGTGAAGGCTCAACCACCACAATTAGATGGCGCTGTCTCATACAGTAATAAATTAGGTACAATAATTTTTCAACGTTTTTGCACCAATGATATCTTGGCACATTGTTTGGCGGTTTTCAAGTGGAGGCAAAAGTATAATTATTAGGGTGCATCTTTAACCCGGCAGCGCCTGGGCTATTTCCGTACCCACGACAGCCTGTGGGGGGAGGGGGTCGGATCCGAACCCCCCCCCCCTGTTATCTCGAGAACCAATGGTCGCATCGAGCCCCGCGAGGCGGCGTTCGAAAGGTCTCTACAAGACCTTCCCAAAGCACTCTTAAGATTTTAAGATTGAGGTCAACTTTCGGGTCAAGGTCAGGTCAAAGGTCAAATTCTGGGGTTTTGCATGATTAGGCTTACGGACAGCGGAATCGATAGCTGCTGCTCGAAACTCACCAAAAATGACCTCAAAGACCTAGTGAAGGTACCATGTGCGTATAGGGGTCATACTAAGTACGGGTCAAGGTCAGGTCAGGTCACGAAAGGTCACGGTTTTCACTTTCTGCTACATGGGCGTGCGACACATGTTTTATGGCTCATTTTTCACGCCGAATCCGATGGTAATGGTTATATGTGACCCCAAGTCACTGTGCTGGTGATAAGTGTGCATTGAAAGCATAAAAAATAGTTTATACCATACATAACTAAACGAGGCCTGAGAAAAAAGGTCAATTTTTCAACTTTTTATTTTTGACATAAAAATGCACTTTTCTAGACGAGCTTTGTCCCAGGAATCTAGTGGTGCCATTTGTTTTCACATGCGATGTTCAGAAGTGCCTCTAATTCACGAAAATGCTTATGACGTCACCATGCCCAATGCATGTTGGAGCTATTTTTTACAATTTGGGGGTCAAAAATCAAGATAGAAAGTTGAAATTTGGGACATCTAATGTTCTAATAAAGCTCTATAACATATATTCCAGTTTTTTGGAAATTCTCAAAATTTTGGATTTTATTAGCTGTTTTCCAAAAAATATAGTTTTTTGAATTTTTAGGGGTGAAAAACGCATTTTATGGAAAATCCGAGAAAGCCTTTTAAAGAACTCGTTGAGTTGCGTCTATTTATATCCTTAATTTGCAATTTGCTTTAAACCCTGATTTTTTGCGATTTTTTTTAAATATTTACCACTTTTTGACTTAAAACGCCATGTGGTTACATCACTTAAATCGATATATCTAAAAAATGGACACTTTTTCTTAAAAATTACACAGGAGACTTCAAATTGATAGGGAAAAGGTATGCCAAGTTTCAAGTTGATAGCGTAAGTGGTTCTTGAGTTATTCAAGAAAAACGGAGGGGGGTCGGATCCGACCCCCCCCAGGCGGTCGAGGGTTAAAACCTCTGCAATATTCATCACGGGACGATTAACAACGCTTTTTCTGCCGAAACTATCAAGTGAAACCATTTTAATTATTATATAGGGCACGAAAGCAGTGGCGACAAATTTTTTTTTTTTTTGGCGGCCTGCATGACTATAGGTACACTGAAAACAATTTAACCCAAGGCCGGCGAGTAAACCGGTGTTTCGCGGGTACCCCTATCTGCAACCATTTTTAACCACCCTCCCAGGAGTACAGTAGGGTTCCATTGCAGTGTAGTCGTCCCTGCTCTCAGCGGACATGTTCGCTGACAGCGGCTATATCCGCTCAGAGCAAGTACGACACGACTACACCGCAATGGACCTAGCACTACTCCTGGGAGGGTGGTTGAAAATGGTTGCGGATAGGGGTACCCGTGAAACACGGTCCGGTTTACTCGCCGGCCTTGGGTTGAATTTTTTTCAGTGTACTGGTGATAGGATGCATGTCGAATCTTCCATAGTTCGATTTGACCTTCCCCCCCCCCCATGCAAAACTTTCTCACCGATGTTTCCTGGGTGTGGGATTGTCATTTTATATATATTTTCTCTCAAAAAATGGACAAGCGTGGGAGTTTTTTGGGCCCTCGTGACTTGCTCGGCGAAGGGTAGGCGTGGAGGTTAACCCCTCTCTTAGGGATTTGTGGGGCGCGTCTGCCAGGTAGGCGTCAATGAATACCTTTCGATGGAGGGGTCGCGAGCCACTGGTGCGCAAATAGTCGTGGAGGGCTACTACTTTCCAGAGTGAATTGCGAGGCGTAATGCCCTAAATTGACTCCATAGGAGTGTGGTTAAAAATGGTTGCGGATAGGGGTCCCCGCGAAACACCGGCTTACTCGCCGGTCTTGGCTTAACCCTCGCCCTGGCAGGGCATTTTTCATAACACGGCCTGGCAGGGGGGGGGGGGGGGGTCGATGCGACCCCCCTCGCGATTGGCTCCTATGGCACCTAGAAACACCAAATTAGGTAGGTAGGTGAGCCCCATGAAGTTCTCGCCCCTGTGCAAATTTGGTTGCTCTAGGTCAATATTTAGGGGGTTTGGGGGGTATAAATGTAAAAATTTCGCTAAAAACAGGTCAAAAGTTTTTCGCTTATAACTTTTGATCTAATTAAGATAGAGCAAAAAGAAAAGCACCAGTGAACTCAGCACGTCAAGGCGCGTCGAATGATATACTTTTCAGCTTGCTTCAGTTTACTTAAAGTTTTTTCTTAATTTTAAAGTAAACTTTAATTAATCAATTAAGTTCACGTTAACCAAATTGCATCATATCGCATATCAATCGAATCGGCTGATCACCAGGAACACAATGACACCATTTTTTAAGCTCTAGCGTCATTATGTGCCAAGTTATTGGCAAAAACGTCATTTGACCTCAGTTGACCTCATTTGACCTGACCCATGGATAAGTACACCAAAAAAAGAAGCTTCAAGTGACCTGCTGTTAAGTACTGCGTTTTCAAAGCACAGAAATGATAGAACGAAGGGGATATCTCCAGTATTTTCCGAATTTAGTATTTTCCCATAGGCTTAGCATTACGACGTAATGACCTCTATTCTGACCTCAGGTCAGTGACCTCAAAAAACCCGAACTATATGTTATACAACTCGGTGAACTTAGCACATCCTGAAAGTTTAAAGGAAATCAGTCCAAAACTGTGAGTTGGACAGGTGCAAAAAGAAAATTGAAATTTGACCATGACCTTGTACCGGTTTTTCTGACCTGGTGACCTGACCCAAGGTCACCCGGACGTGAAAGTTTCAGGTCATATGTAAAAAGGTTGCCCCATAGGCTGTACCAAATTCGTTTTTACGTTATCTTCGAAAAACCTTAGGGGGTTCGCATCGACCCCCCCCCCCCCCTGCCAGGGCGAGGGTTAAACTGTTTTCAGTGCATGGTGCAGCGACCCGACCGGTGAGCACACCGTGGGACGGCAAATGGAAGTGGTTACTTTTGCTTAAACTGAGTTCAAAAATTGTACGCAAGAATGAGATGGATGCAGCATAAAGAAATGTCAACTGCGCGGCACTTTGTAGCGTCGATTTTGCTACACACGTAGAAAATTAGCCGATTAACCCCCCCCCCCCGGTTGACGGTTAAATGCTATGTTTCGCGAGTGTGACTTTGCCCCCCCCCCCCCCCCCTTAGCTAACGGCTGCGACCGCCAGTGAACCAGGCATAACGACGACGGGCCGATAACCCCCGTGTAGCTCATTCAAATGACCGCGAAGATAGCTATAATTGGTTAGTGGTTAACTGGTTACCATAAACTGGAGTCAGCCTAACTACTCGTATTGTGAAGGGTTAAAAGGGCGGGCGATAGCCACTTTGACCCGGTCTCCCCCATGTAGGTACTTACCACCCGCCGTCCCCTCTGTCGAAGGCCGTAGAACAACCGCCTATGCTGCCAAGTCTTTGTCTGTTCGTGTCAGCGGCATACAATCCCAAAGTGACAGTTGATATTTCTGCTATTGTAATTGATGTGTGAGTAGAGAACCGCCCGCCCGAGAACCGCCCGCCGGCGGGCGGGACCTTTTCAAAGAGCGCCGTGTTCCACAGGTAGCTATTGTAGCGGTGCAGATGCGTCGGCAAGCGAGGCAGCCAAGTCCTTCGCCTCCACTCTGTGGCGGCTCGCTGATCAACGACCGTTACGTGCTGACGTCTGCCGACTGTATCGCCCCCTTCGAAGCCATTGATCTAGCGGTTTTTCTGGGACAGTACTCGTCAACTGATACTCCTGACATTTTCCCATCTTTGGTGGAGCAGGTGAGTTTCCTTTTTTTTCTCTTTTTGTGTAACTGCTTGTGAAAAAAGGCACTCAAAGATCATACTGATTCGGTGCTGCCAACGCCTAACAGTTTATTTGATCGGGTGAGGGTTAACCCGGCCGGGCCCGGGGGTAATTCCAATCACCGCAGCCCGGGGGGAGCGTTTTTCGCCCCCCCCCCCCCGTCTAACTCCGTAAATAAGGGAGCTACGGAAGCAAAAGCGATACCAAACGACAGGTCCTTACAATACGATTCTGAAGCATCCAAAACTTTTGACCTCAGGTCAATTTTTAAGGTCAGAGGTCAAGGTCAAAGGCAAAAACCGGCACATGTGTAGTGATCTGAAAGTAAGCGTTCTAGAGGACGGCAGGATGCATAAAACCGGCAAAATTGGGTGTGAAACAAAAGAAGAGAATCTGAGAATTCCGCAAATGTGCTCAAAATTAAAGGTGAAGGTCAAGGTCATGCTCAAAATTGACCTCAAAATTTGCACTTTCTCGTTTATCCTGCGTGCTAACTTCCAAGATTTTTTTAAATGTTTTGAGGCTTATCGGGTCCCTATTTGTGGTTCATCTTACGGTACAAGACTGCTCAAAGGTCAAGGTTACAGAAGTGTATCCTTGCTAGAGGCTATTCTACTTATTGAAGTTAGCAATAATAAATAAGACAATTTTACCATCCGGAGGCTGTAAATGACGGTTTAGGGGAAACTAGATGGCAGATTCGTAATCAGCGTGTACGAATCCATCATATACGACCTTTCATGTGTCAAGGTCAACCAAAAGGTAATTCGAGGTTACATGTGTTCAGCATAAAGCTTGAACTTTTCCATACAATATATATAATGAACAAGCAGGTGCCAGAAATGAATAAGAAACAGACTCTTAGTGACGTTTCGATATATATATATATATATATATATATATATATATATATATATATATATATATATATATATATATATATATATATATATATATATATATATATATATATATATATGTTACAGGCCAAGTGCGAAGGCTAGTCCGTTTGCGAACGGACTAGTCCATTCGCGAATGGACTAGGCCGTTTGCGAATGGCGGTCCGTTCGCAAACGGACTAGTCCGTTTGCGAATGGCCGGCCATTCGCGAATGGCCTAGGCCGTTTGCAAACGGACGGGTTTGTGGCGTTGCACTTAGCCGCCGGAAGCATGGATCCTCGGATTGGGGTACGATTCCGAATGAATGGGGGACCGCTGGTCGATGCAGGGGCGTCGCCGACGGGGGGGGGGGGTCGGAGGGGTCCGGACCTCCCCCCCCCCCACACACACACATTCTTGAAAATATGCCGGTCCGACGCCCCCCTCCCCCCCCCCACACACACACACTTTTGGCCACGAAAATCGATCAAGAATAAAATAAAATATTTTAAAAACGATTTTGGTGCATTCTCAAAATAAAATTGTCTAAATCCGAGGAGTTTTCAGTATTTGGTGGGGATTACTTTGACTGACCGTCCGACCAGATCCCCTAGTCGAAAATCCGTGACGACGCCACTGCGTCTATATGTTTAGTTTGTTCTCCGGAGCAGATCTGCGAGCTGGCGCAACTCTGGGTTAAGGTCTCCACACACCTGGTCCATTCGGGATGCGACTTTCCGCTGAACCCTGCACAACGCGGCAATTATAGCAACGTGTTGCCGCTGGCCAGGCTTCGGCCACCGATCTGGATCTGGGGAGGTCAAATATCCCCGTGACCTTCGAACAGCGGAGAGTCGCGTTGGTGTGCGGAGACCATTAGTACCGTGCTCCGGGCTCCCCGCTGATGACCCGACCTGACCTTGGTCGAGTTTGTGGCGCTCGATTCATTCTGCTCTGGTGTGGTGTACCGGGACGGTGCGGCTTGTGTGTGGTGAGTGCGGTGCGGTGAGTGTTCGAAAAACTGTTGTCTTGCATTGCATTTAACAATACGCGCACTGCAGGGGGGGTTGTTTTCAACCCCCCTGTGGTTTTTCCCAGATCACGAGAAAACGGCGGCGCGCAGCAAAGCCAAATTTTGTATACCTTTTCTCCCATATTCTGCGCACATTGTGTGAAAATGCTGACTCCAGATGACCTAAGGTCAGGTCACCAGGCCAGGTTAAGTGACGCCGGTTGAGTTACCAATACTTTGCACGCATCATTTCACACGGGACTTTGCACATGCCAAGTTGACTTGCCAAGTTGACGTCACTTTGCTGGATATTTCGCACTTGGCCTGACTTCGCACTTGGACTGGGAGCATAAACGCCCGTCCATTCGCAAACGGCCTAGGCCAACTGCAATAACGCACATGGACTAGTCCATTCGCAAACGGCCTAGTCCAAGTGCGTTATCGCACTTGGACTAGGCCATTCGCGAATTGACTAGCCTTCGCACTTGGCCCGCAACATATATATATATATATATATATATATATATATATATATATATATATATATATATATATATATATATATATATATATATATATATATATATATATATATATATATATATATACAGGGTGATCCAAAAAAATTGGAACCCCTAACTTAAAATGTCTTTAAGTCAGAAAATTTTCACTTTATTGACAAATTGCAAACACCATTAGAAAGAGCGTTCAATTCTCCATAAAACCAAGTTGATTGAACTTAATTATTATTATAAATATTGCCCTAGACATATACCTATAAAATTTGTGTCACGAAACTCAGTGAAACAGTTTTGAACATTATGCACAAACCAGTGATTGACGGTTTGTTGTTCTGACCATGTCGCTTGTTGGAGGTTCATGAATAAAAATAGCTCATTCACGTGCTATTGTAAGGAAAGGAAAGGCTGACGGCCTGCTGGGACCAGTTGTCCCAGAGACTGCTGGTCCGCGCTGTCTCGGAGCTGTCCCCAAGCAACTGCAGGCCTGCGTGACGGCCCACGGAGCTCGCGTTGAGCACATGCTGGGATGAACAGCGGAAGCTAGGACGCGTGCCTCTGTTCTACTGTGTGCTTCTGTCTAACCTTTTTTGAAATAAAATTGAATTTGGATGTGTGTTATTCGCAAAAAGACAACAGATAGAGTGCTAACGGATTTCAGCGCATTGTTAGCATTTGACGATTTCGTTTCACTCAGTTTTCTGACGCTCATTCCAAAAACTAATAGTGTGCCAATGCTTTACAACATACATGCACCAATTTGACGTGTTTTATAGAGGATTTAATGCTCTTTCTAATGGTGTTCGCAATTTGTCAATAAAGTGAATATTTTCGGACTTATAGACATTTCAATTTAGGGGTTCCAAATTTTTTTGATCACCCTGTATATGCTTATATTTTCGTCAGATGGATGGCACAAATGTCACAATTCACATTTTCAAAAGTAATGACAGCGTTACAGGACAATAAATGTTCACATACAAAAGCACACGTCGGATCGTGTCGAAATTCTTCGTGGTCCTTCGATTACTACATACATTAGTAAGTGAAACTCTATGTGTTGTATTCGCTGGTAGAGCCACATTAAAAACAAATGGCGAGAATATCGGAAAATCGTTTAAGTGGTTGGTAGACCGATAAATCAAGACAGTAAGTTAGAGTCGGGAGGAGACGCAGTTGCACCCCCCCCCCTTTCTTTTCCCCCGGCCCGGGGGGCAGTTATATTCTCCCCAAACTAAGTAAAAGGGAGGTTATTACACTCCAGCTACATCCCCACTCCCCTCCCAAACTCCCCCCATACCTACTTGTACCCTTCCCTTCTGACATATTCTCCGTCACCGTCTTTTTGCGTCCCCAGAAGTCCCACCCAGCGCATCTCCCTGAATTTCCTACGGTCCTCCGAGTGCCCCCATGTCCTTTCTAGGCCAATGATCCTAAAGTCCTCTTCCCCGTGCTCCTTTTCGGAGAAGTGCCGGCTTACTGGGATTCTGCCCTGCCTTTTACCCCTGATCGACGACAGATGATTCTGAGTCCGCGTGTAAATTGTATCACCAGTCTGCCCAACATACACTACCTTCTTGCATTTCGCGCACCAGACACCATATACCAAATTTGATGTTTTGCACCCAATCGTCCTGTCATAATGAATGGGTCCCCCCACCCCTGGTACCGTTTCTCCCACATAAAAGACCCTACAAATCACGCAGCCGCCTCCACAGTCCTGCCTTCCATGGGTTGTGAGAGCTCTCCTTGTTTTGCCGTGGAGTTTAGCCGCCTGCCGCGCGGCGTTGGACAACAGAACGGTCGCAAAAATCCCCACAGAAGAGGTTTTAGAGGTTATAGATTTAGTTCTTGATAACAACAATTTTCAACTAGGGGCAAGTAAAAACTTTATACAAAAGGACCGCGATTGGATCTAAATTGGGTAGAAATTTTGTATGTACCTACATGGTTGCCTGTGAAAAGGAGTTATTGGGAAGGTCTGCCTTTTTACCGCTCAAGTGGTTTCGCTTCATTGATGACATCTGGGGAATATGGTTATACGGGGAAGATAATTTGCGAGCTTTCCAAGATCTAGCCAACAGCATACACCCCAACATCAAGGTGGATCTGAGATTAACAGAAAGCTGCATCGAGCTCCTTAATGTAGAGGTAAGTCTGAGCGAGTCGGGTCACATCTCGACCAACCTCTTTTCCAAACCCACAGATGCACATGCGTATGTAATTGCACTACGCCTCAGACCATCCACCCCACGTGAAAAGGGCGATACCCCAGGGTCTTGGGATAAGAATGAAACGCATTTGCTCAAACCAGCATGACTATCAACTTCACCCAGAAAAGTTAACTAACAGGCTAGCGGAGAGGGGATATCCAAGAAATGAGATTGATCGTGAATTGAAAAGGGTGGACCACATGAAAAGGAACAGTTGACTAAATGTGAGGAGAAATGGACATAAAAGGAAGGGAGATGTCAAAGTTCCTATGGTGGTTACATAGGCAGCTTTCTGCCAGACATCAGAGCGATTATACGAAAAAATAGACGTATTCTAACTAGATCGGCGATATTGAGGAAAGTTTTCCCAAAAGATCCAATGGTTGCTTTTAAAAGGGGAAAAAACATAAGACTTACTGATCCACGGCAAAACAAGGAAAGCTCTCAAAACCCATGGAAGGCAGGACTGCGGAGGCGGCTGCGTGATTTGTAGGGTCTTTTATGTGGGAGAAACGGTACCAGGGGTGGGGGGACCCATTCATTATGACAGGATGATTGGGTGCAAAACATCAAATTTGGTATATGGTGTCTGGTGCGCGAAATGCAAGAAGGTGGTGTATGTTGGGCAGACTGGTGATACAATTTACACGCGGACTCAGAATCATCTGGCATCGATCAGATGTAAAAGGCAGGGCAGAATCCCAGTAAGCCGGCACTTCTCCGAAAAGGAGCACGAGGAAGAGGACTTTAGGATCATTGGCCTAGAAAGGACATGGGGGCACTCGGAGGACCGTAGGAAATTCAGGGAGATGCGCTGGGTGGGACTTCTGGGGACGCAAAAAGACGGTGACGGAGAATATGTCAGAAGGGAAGGGTACAAGTAGGTATGGGGGGAGTTTGGGAGGGGAGTGGGGATGTAGCTGGAGTGTAATAACCTCCCTTTTACTTAGTTTGGGGAGAATATAACTGCCCCCCGGGCCGGGGGAAAAGAAAAGGGGGGGGGGGGGGGTGCAACTGCGTCTCCTCCCGACTCTAACTTACTGTCTTGATTTATCGGCTTACCAACCACTTAAACGATTTTCCGATATTCTCGCCATTTGTTTTTAATGTGGCTCTACCAGCGAATACAACACATAGAGTTTCACTTACTAATGTATGTAGTAATCGAAGGACCACGAAGAATTTCGACACGATCCGACGTGTGCTTTTGTATGTGAACATTTATTGTCCTGTAACGCTGTCATTTACATATATAAAAATCAAAATGTCTGTACTTATGTATGTATGTAACGCGTCAGTCACGCTTGGTGGGCTATTGCTCCGGAACGGTGCGGGCTACGGGGAGGAATTTTGGGCGCAAGTTGGACGCGTGCATCTGTTTGTCGTATTAAATTTTGGTGGGGGTGCGCTCGCCGGTTTGCACGTGGCGGGCGCATCTTTGCGGGATTTTGGGCCGCGGCGGTCGCCGATCAGAGAGCACGCGCATTATCCTCAGTTTTTTCGCTTGCAAAACTGAGTGAAATCAGAGCTGGAAGGTCACTGACCTTTGGCAATGAATACCGGAACAGAGCACCGCCGCCCAGGAGGAGACGCAACATTTATTCTGGCAATAACTCGGCCGCTACTGGGCCGATTTTAATGAAAATTGATTCATTACGCTGCGCGTAATGCTGTCCCTCTAGTCACATATATCAAAATCAAAATGTCCGTATGTATGTATGTAACGCGTCAGTCACGCTTGGCGGGCTATTGCTGTAGAAATGTGCGGGCTACGGGGGTGAAATTTTGGGCGCAAGTCGGACGCGTGCATCTGTTTGTCGTATTAAATTTTGGTGGGGGTGCGCTCGCCGGTTTGCACGTGGCGGGCGCATCTTTGCGGGATTTTGGGCCGCGGCCGTCGCCGATCAGACGGCACGCGCCGTAGTCTCAGTTTCTTCGCTTTCAAAACTGAGGGAAATCAGAGCCGGAAGGTCACTGACCTTTGGCAATGAATACCGGAACAGGGCACCGCCGGCCAGGAGGAGACGCCAAATTTATTCTGGCCATAACTCGGCCGCTACTGGGCCGATTTTATTGAAACTTGATTTATTACGCTGCGCGTAATGCTCGGCACCTAGTTTACATATATAAAAATCAAAATGTCTGTACGTATGTATGTATGTAACGCGTCAGTCACGCTTGGCGGGCTATTGCTCCGGAACGGTGCGGGCTACAGGGGTGGAATTTTAGGCGCAAGTCGGACTCGTGCATCTGTTTGTCATATTAAATTTTGGTGGGGGTGCGCTCGCCGGTTTGCACGTGGCGGGCGCATCTTTGCGGGATTTTGGGCCGCGGCGGTCGCCGATCAGAGAGTACGTGCCGTAGGCTCAGTTTCTTCGCTGCAAAACTGAGTGAAATTAAAGCCGGAAGGTCACTGACCTTTGACAATGAATACCGGAACAGGGCACCGCCGGCCACGAGGAGACGCCAAATTTATTCTGGCCATAACTCGGCCGCTACTGGGCCGATTTTATTAAAACTTGATTTATTACGCTGCGCGTAATGCTGTCCCTCTAGTTACTTTTGAAAATGTGAATTGTGACATTTGTGCCATCCATCATCCAGGTTTCACCAGGTTTCATCCAGGTTTCACCGGTAAATAAAATAAATCTATTACCGAGCGAGCGAAGCGAGCAAGCTTTCGGATCTGTAGCGCTCCTTGAAAAGCGCATGTACATCCCTACCATAATACAGTTAATTGAAGTAACAAACAAGCTTAACCCTACTGGCATAAACATACAAGTTTTAACAACCAAGCTAATAATCCCCTTAAACATATATCTCGAATCTATACAGTTATCGCGTAAACCTGTATTCTAGTAAGTAGTAAGTGAATGAATGATGACATCACGTAAGAAAGTGTCATGTTCGTAATGTTTCTAAGGAGTAATAGGTATCATCATGCCGATTTTATTCTGCGGTTTGCCACTCTTCGTGACAATGTTAACCAACCATCTGTTTCTTTTATTACAGCTCATTCCACACCCGGAGTTCAACCCAACCACGAAGGAGAATGACATTGCGCTGGTGAAGTTGCAGACAATACTGTCTCTGCCACTAGCAGTGAACAACATCGCTCCCATCTGCCTACCACACAGGTCCAAATACACAGATCAAATAGTGGCCGTCTCCGGGTATGGGTCCGTTGACGTAAGTATCCTGCATAGCTTATTTCGTAATTTATTATTTTGAATTTAAATTAATATTTTTATTTACTCTCTGTTTAGTGTTTATCATAAAGTTCGGTAAGTAAATCCCCGCCCGATGAGGTCTGGCAGGTTCCACGTCCTGTTGTTGGGGGGGGGGGGGGGGGGAGGGCCCCCATCGTATCTCCGGAACCAATAGCCTGATCAGAAAAACTCAAACGGCATTCGAAAGAGCTCATCGAGATGCACAGGATAGGATATCAATGACCATGATGTTTGACCTGTGACATCACAGGAGGTCAAACAAGGTCAAATCAGTCCAATTTGCAATGACGAGAGGTCGGTCATGCAAATTAAATCCAAGTTTTCAAAATGAGTCTGGATATAATGTACATGATAGATCTGGCATGTGGATAGTCACCTGAGTGGATGATCACCTGTGACGTCACAACAGGGGTCAGCCTCGACCAATCAGAAAACACTTCCGTGAATCGTAAGAAAAGGCATGGTAAATTGCGAATTCGACCATTTTTCTTAGACCTATGACGTCACAGGAAGGTCAACTATTCAAACGGCGTTCGATAGCCCCACCCCGGAACTACCTTGTGACCAAATTTCATTGACCTAGGTCAAACCGATGACGTGACAGGTCAGGTCAAAGGTCGGATTTTCACCGTTCACAGGCATTTCAAGAAATGTGTTGTAAAATCGAGTAAATTGGTAAGTTATTGAAAACTATCGATGGTACAGCCCTCTGCAAACTGCGTGGTAGGTATTCTTTTTCCGACAAAACCGATAATAACGCGAATACTATGATATCGGTCACTCAGAAATCGTAACAGCAAGACGCGCGAGACTCCGCACCCTAGATTGACATTATCATCGTATTCCTTTTCCATCCAGTTTGGCAACAAAACCAAAAAGTTTATATTTGCCCCCAAAACAAACTTCTGCATTTTGCTGCCACACAAGGCGTATACTTTGATTAATGATTGACCCAGTCGAACGAGTGGAGCATGGAGCATCTATTTGCAGTAAGTTTCGACCGACTGATTACGGAGCGAGCGAAGCGAGCGTAGTCTTTCCTTAGATTAACGGAAATTTCTGAGTATGAGCGGCCGGCCGGCCGGCCGGCCGGCCGTGGTCACGCTTTTGCGAGGCTTATATCTCAGCAACCACTTGACCGATTTACACGCGGTAATTTTTGTAGGGTAGCTTCATTCCTTCTACCAAGTATTGGACTATTTCTGATGCATGTGGGTGACCCCTTATGCACGTGCCACGTGCAAAACGAAGAGGCGTCCGTTTTGTAATTGTTGCAATATCTCGGTAACTACTTGGCCGATTGCGCTGAAAGTTGGCATGTAGGTATGCATCCACTAGGCACTGCATATCCATGTGCCAGAGTTGGGGCGCTGCTGCACGTGCGCACGTGCAGGAGTCGTTTCCAGATCTCGAGAACGGCTCGACCGATTGCGCTCAAATTTGGTACCCAGTTAGGGACCGGTTAGTAGGGTGCCGTGCACAAGTCAGTTGGGACCCATTTTGCACGTGCGCACGTGCAGGGTGCCGCTTCCAGATCTCGAGAACGGCTGGGCCGATTGTGCCCAAATTTGGCACATCGCTAGAGACCGGTTAGTAGGGTGCCGTGCACAAGTCAGTTGGAGGTACCCCCTCGCAATTTCGCACGTGCAAGGCCCACCCTCTCGCTCGCTCCGTTAGTCGCCCCAAAAGGTTTTATACTGGTAACATATCCTTTGAGTTATCATCGGTTTTGTCGGAAAAAGAATACCTACCACGCAGTCTGCTGAGGACTGTGCATTGTTCGTCAAACACATACTTCGCTATCTGAGGTCAATGATACCAGGTCAGGTCACAGAGGTCAGGTCACTGGGGGGTCACAATATTAAAGTGTCGTGTGATACATGTTTTATGGTCCATTTTACATGACAAATGCGATTATGTGGGTCAGGCAGCCTTTGAGGCCAGCTAACGAAAATTTTATATAATAATATTCAAAATTTATATTTTTATATTTTTTTCAAAAAGTTTTTGACTTTTCGAAAAAAAAAACGAAATATATGTGACAGAAAGCATGATTATGACTAACTCTAGCAAGTTTTAGCTAAATATCGTCAAAAATGGCCAATTTATACGCATTATTGCAAAAAATTCACAATTATTAATTTTTCAAATCCGTTTTTCAGTACGTATTTGACATCGTACACCAATATAAATCGCACCATCGTGTTCCTGAGCTCAAACTGCATCCAATAGATACATTTTTTGTTGAAAAAATTTAACTTCAAAATTTGACCTTTTTTGACCTGAAAGTGACCTGACCTAAGCTAAATTCGACTCAAAATGACCTCGAATGACACAGACGACATCAAATTCGAAATCTATGGCCTAAATGGACCATAAAACATGTGTCACGACCGACGCATGATAAGATATTTCCGTGACCTGTGATGACCTGACCCTGACCTGAAAATCAAAGTACAAGTTTTGTACCCTCAAGGTATCTAGAGCATCTGTTCACGAGTGTGGAAACCAAAAATGAGCCTGATCTGACTTGTAAGACGGCGGCCAGAGCCCAAAATGTGAACAAGCCAAAATGCTAATAATTTTTACTTTGACCTGACCTGTGATGTCATCGGTGACCTCGAGGTCAATGAAATTAGGTTTCGCTCGACAGTTTTTCCGGGCTATCAGACGCCGTTTGAATTTTGACGATCGGCCAAGTAGTTTCGGAGTTAGGAGGGGGGGGGGCTATGGAGAGCCCCCCCCCCCAGTAGGGCGTGTTATGCGCAGACCCCAGTGGGGCGCGGGTTAAGTATGGCTCACTAAGGTCGCCAGAGGTCTTCGTCAAACAGCTCTCGATCAAATTGACCTAACGAGTCAGAAAGCCACCAACACACTCGGAAATATCGTGAGCCAATTCTCAGTTAAAATGACCTCCTTCGCTCAATTTCGTGACCTGAGGCCATTATTATAAAATAAAATCGAGACACTGGCTGCAAATAAAAATCGAGCCGAATAAAGCAGCCGGCTGCTTTTCTCATTATTATAAAACTCACGCGTGCTTCATTTTTACGCATCTTCCGGTTCATTATTTGGCTGCGAAAAATGAGCCAAAAATGTATGATGTCATACTTCAAGTGCTTTATATATTCCATATTATGTGATTATGTGCATTATAATTCCGATTTTTTAAATCTTTTGTATACATTTATGCTTCATGTTTTTGATAAAACATATTTGAAGACGTTTTCCGTGTCCTTTGTAAGAAAACTCATGTCACATTTAAAGGTGAATTGATGACAAAAGTTCTTGGGCTATCACAGCAACTGTGTTATGCCTGGTTCAAAACGTTGAGCATTGTTCATGCTTGGGATTGAGTAATTTAGAGATGTATTTATGAATGAATCGTGCGAACAAGTTAATCGCTCAATCATAGATAACATGATTCATGTTATCTATGGCTCAATTTATGAAAAAATAGCAAAGCTTAAGTTCTAAAAGAAGACATGCTTCGGTTAGGAAAATTGCATTTCAACCACCAGTTTCTGGGATTAAGCAAAAGGACAACCGGATTTCATTGGGATATATATTTTGAACAAAAAGTAGTAACACGAGAAATCTTTCAGCAACATGCATTACAATCGTTGACATTTTGTGTATTTGAAAGAGATCCGCATAACATGTCGGGTTTTCGAGTTTCGACCATATTCACGTCTAGTATTGAGCGAAAACCAATAAATACAGACGGTAACCACAGGCGGATCCAGAAAGTATCGGACGCGGCGGAGGGCATACGCCCAACTAATGGGATTTGGATTCCTTACGCACAGCTGTGTAGCTAAAGCAAATATTTTTTCATACAAGTTGTTTTCGTTTTCTTTCTATTCTAGAAAAATCGTCGATTTCAGGCGCTGTATACGGGCATTTGCCCCAAATGCCGGAAATTTGTCCCAAATGCCCTTCCTGTTGACATTTGCACACCCAATCCATGTCCCATTGTGCTTTACCGTTTTGACTTCTCGTTGACGGCCAAGCGAAATCCAGGGACACCAGGCATCGGACATCGACTTTGCACTGAACATCGTGACACGGTGGTAGCGCAGTCTGATTCTGCCGGACTCGGTTTGTCTTATAGGAAGGGTACTAGGGTGACCCGCGTGCTCCGCAACGCGAAAAGGGGTATTTTCGATCGGCGGGTGTTTGGTTGTTCTTGTGTGGGTTGGGTTATCTATCCATTTCGGTCGATTGCTTTTTGACGGCTAAACGTTTTGGTTTGGAAAGAATATCCATCGCATCGAGGTGCCCGTGTCTGATAAGCATGCTTTCCACTTCAGAATCTGTCATTATAGTTCAGTGAACCTGTGAAATATGTACTTGATGTACTTGATGTACTTGATGTACTTGATGTTCAGGTAAAGAGGACTAATAAGCCCTGTTGGTCCTGCTCTTGACTTTATAAGTGAACCCAACTGGTCCACTCTCGTGCCATAACTTTACTGGCTACTAGTTGAGTACAGTGAGCTGTTTGTTTGAATTTCGTCAAACCTATTCTTAAATTGGTTTACATTTTGAGAGTCTACCAAGGATTGTGACAGGGCATTCCAACTGTTGACCGTCCTGCTTGAGAAAAGTGCTGTCTGGTTGCTAGTCTTGCCCTTGGTTTCTTCACTTTATGACTATGGCCGCGGGTTCGTGTATCTGTAGTCATCTGGAAGAAGTGTTCGACTCTCACCCGTTCCATTCCTTTCATAATTTTGAACACCTGTATCATATCCCCCCGGTACCGCCGATGACTCAATGACGGAATATTTAGCGCACGCAGTCTTTCTTCATACGACAGATGTTTCACCTCAGTAACCAGGCGGGTTGCCCTTCTTTGCACTTTCTCTATTTTTGCTTTGTCGGTTTCATATATAGGGCCCCAGATCACATTTCCGTATTCTAGGAGCGGCCGCACCAATGTTTTATATAGTGGCAAAA